TTTTATAAAGTTGATAAAACTTGAGAAAATTTATCAGCGCATATCCTGTGATATTAATTTTTTTTGGACGGAAGGAGTACATCGAAAAAGTTTGCACTGGAGAGAGCCCGCTGGGAGACGCAAAACCTTTTGCCATGCAAGCCATGAGGGAGGAAAATGCACTTTCGGGCCTTAGATTTGGCCGAGAGTAATATCTAGGTATTTAAACTCATAAAATACACATCGTGACATATGTGGAGGTGCGAGCCGACGTGGAGGCGTTGACCGATGAGGAGCCTGCGCACGAATCTGCACGAACCGATGGAAACCTTGTCTCTTGTCCTCTACGCAGGACCAAGCAGTTTCTTCAGCATTGATACACTTGAAGACATCGTTTCTTCTTTAGAAACGGTTTCTCTAGTTCTTCCTTTCTCTCTCTCTTCAATAATTGTCTTGCCACATCAGAAAAATACTTATGTGGTAGTATAATTAATGTCTTTAGATACTATGGTAGTTTCTAGGTTGTAAGTGTCCTTAGTCCAATCTCAAATGAGAGTTTTATAACGTTGTTTTCAAGACAGTTTCATAGACATTTAGTTCAATGACTCATAGAGTTGGTAATCACGTTAAGAAAGACGAAACTAACTTATTGGTCCACTAATCAAAAAGGCACAGGACAACCTATTAAATACAAATAAAACCTACACGAAGCTCCCACTAATATTGGCCCTAGTAAGTTCTAGGATCTTATTAATGTGCATTTTAGGAGCTAGCACGAGAATAGACGATACTCGCTGCCAAGTTCAAAATTTCAAATTCAGCCGGTGCATTCTACTAGTCAATAGGAGGAAATTTGACATGCCAGGATGCACGCGCGTAAGCATAGGCATAGATATGGATGATGAGCGACATCTCACAGGACAGGAGATTGGTAGCATGCATGAAAAGTGAGGGCGGCTTTCATGTTAAGTCATGTCCCCCTCTTTGGAGGACACCTTTGCATCATATGGCCCCCCGACCAATCAGAGAATGTCATCGAAAGGTGGCCGGCGGGGCCGGAGCCGAAAGGGAGACCTGCCTGCCCTGTCGCGCGCGGTCGTCTGCCCGTCATCCCGCCCGCCCGGGCAACAACGAGAGCTAGAAAGAAAGCTCATGCTACGTGCGTAGCGTAGGGTGAGCCGGCCGGTGACGGTGGGGAGGGCTCACTGCTGATTGCCCAGGCCGGCCGCCCGGACGATCACCGCGCGGCCGGAAGAGGTGAGGGTGAGGGGTGCATGGCGACCACTTGATGAAGACAACGACGAGGCTGCCTGCCCTGGCCCCTGGATTATTTTTCACATGCATGCGTCGTCCCCTCCTTCGGTTCTTCCCTTTATTTTGCTGTCTCCAAACATACACCAGCAGGCAAAGAATCGAAGCTCCTTTTGCACTGACAGGGGAAATGCAAAAGGACCGGCCCGGTAGGTAGGTGAGGACCCGGGGCCGTGCGTGTGTTCAACATTTTTCCACGTCGTCAATACGGCCATTATTATGCGGCTATAATCATCATCACTAACAATATAGCCACCGCATCTTTTTTTTTTATTTTTCAAAATTACTCGCATTTACCATTATTACTGGAAATAATAATGTAAAATACCACACCTATATATTTTATTATTGAAGATAACCTGAAGTGGTCAAACTTTTTTTTAAAAAATGATAAAGTAAATAGTTTAATTGTAAGTATTACTGTTTTTGTTAGAAAAAAAGAGTGTCCATATCACACATCTAAAATTATTGGTTCTAATGGTTTCCAACACTTGAGTTCTCGGCCATCCAATTTTAACATTTATATATGGCTTAGATTAGGGTCCATTTGGCACATCTTATCTAGCAGCTTCTACGGGTTGTTTGAAGCTGTTTTGTGCCAAACCGGTATTTTTGAGACAACTTCGCATGTGAAGCTTCTTAAATCGTGCTTAAGGAATGGGTGTGGGATGAAATTGAAAATAATTGACTCCCAGCTTCAACTCGCACTGTGGGTTCCTGTATGGACCAAATAATTCTTGAAAACATCTTCAACTCTACCGGTAGAGCTGCTCAGAGCCGAAGAAAAAAAAAACTACTTGTACTAATAAAGCTGAGCTATGCTAAACATGGATCTAGATCTATTGTAGGCTACGCATTCTAAAAAAGGTTGTAGCACTCTAATTTTTATTTTACCATCTTTACTAAAAAACACACCTAAAATGGAAATGTAACTTTTTTTTTTGGTAAAAAGTAGATGTAACTTAATGTGCAACGTAACTGTAAATCTGATGTAAATTTAACCAGTCTGCCTAAGGTGCAAGTAAAAAATCCATTGTGTTGGTTTCCATACCGAAGTACACTCACAACCATCATCAAATTAAGCACAAATGTGGACAAAAATAAATCCAAACGTAATCATTCAGAAATAATCGACGTTATTAAGTAGGGATATAATCATAAACAGAAATATTGAATGGCATTCAACATGTTCGCTTGGTCGTAAACGATCGTGGATTATAAGTCCGAACAATATTTTTCTCTCACACCAAACCAACCAGCAATAATAATCCACGATCGTTTCACCCGAAACAAACAGGCTGATTATTATTAGCGGCTTGACAGCTTAACCCAAGCGATAGGACGAGACACGCGAGGGATCGGACATGGTCGCCGTCAGCCGTCTCAACGATACGGTCTCGCTCGCCGGCCTACATCATGCACGCACGCACGCGTCGGCTGTCTTTGACCCGCGCTGTGCTGGCCACCTAACGCAGCGCCCGGCGGCCGCGGCCGTGTGCCCACCGGAACGGGAGCATGGAGGAGGAGTGCGTGCCGACTTTGCGGCCGCCGCTTCCAATAAGGCCCACATGACACCGCACCATCCGCTCCGTTCCCCACCGCCGCGCCGCGCCACGAGCGTTTTCCTCCCTTTCCCCCAGCCCCAGCCATCCGGCCTTCTCGCGGCGCAACAAGGGATAGGCTGGGCCTTAGTAAGCAAGCATGTAAAACGAAGATGGCGTCGTGGCGTGGCGGCCAGGGCCGCGCGCACACGACGGACTGGCCCAGCTATCCCCTGCTCGGAGGATGCCCGAGGTCCGCCGCAGACAACATGAAATTTCAATATTTAACGCTCAGTTTGCATCTCGAGATTTGACACCTAATTCGTATGCCTTTTAAAATATAATCATGTACACACGAATTTTTTCAATTCTAGGGATTTTTCTTTTCCCCTTCTTTTTTATTTCCAATATATCCTGTTCCCTGTTGATGCCACGGGAAAAGACCGTACTGCCCCTTCCTCTAAGTTGGAGACCTGGACGGACGCTCGGGCTCGGTCGCGGTTCTCCCGGCCGCTCGCGCTCCCTCGTTGGCGGAGGACGCCGGCGTCGCGCCTAGTGGCGGCGGCCGAAATTTGGCTTGCATTGTTTATACAGAAACTATATACAGTTCACAATCTTTTTCGTCGGGAACAATTATACACACCACACAAGCTCTGCATGCGTGCTTCGACGGTTGCGCACAGGCTCCCCAGTCCCGGGCTCCCTGCTCTGTAGGGCAGCATCCCGAGGCCCGAGCGGCCTGGGCGCGCGCCGATGGGGGCCGGCGGCGCCGGAAAGGCCTGGGCGCGCGATGGCGGCGGCGGCTGTCGCGGCCTCCACGCCCCGGACTTGGCGGGCTCGTCCTGAGCTCGCGCGGAGGTCTCGGCCTGGGCGCGTGGCGCGGGGGAGGTTGGGGGTGGGGCGACGGTGGGCGGGCCAGAGGCGGGCGGTTCGCCGGCGCCGGAGAAGCCGAATCGCGGGCGGCGACGACGGACCGCGCGACTATGGCGTTCGCGAAACAGAACAGAGAAGCCCGGGCTCCTTCTTTTACAAACAGTGGGAAGGATATATTGATTTGGCTTAGTCCAATGAGTAATGAAATCCTTGATTAAAAAAAATAGAAAAAGAGAGAAATCCCTCAGATTGAAAGGGTTACCATGTCTAGGGTTATATTTTAAAAGACATACGAACAGTGCGAATTGAGGGTCAAATATTGAAATTTCTCCGTCCACATCCCCTCTCTCCCTCCTGGCCTATTTGAGCTTTTCAGCCAGAGATAGTTGTTTCACAAAACCATTGGAGGGCCTTTTTATCTTTTTGCCAAAAAAATAAATTGGAGAGTTTTTTAAGGAGCTTTTGAAAATGCGCTTAGGTTGTGATGCCTTGTTTCTTTTAATCATTGATGAGATTTATTGAGTTTTATTTATATTCCGATCTATAATTTCTAAACATCCATGTGTGTGCAGTAGTTTATCTTGTTATTACCTTCCTAGTGTTACAACTAATGTGGCACAGAAATAATTGTTTCATTGCTAAAATTCAACCCAAGCGATTCACAGAATCAATTATGTATGTCAAGCCCATTCAAAATGAGCAAACTCTCAAAATGTAGACTAATTTTAACCAAATATAAAAGAATGTTTCCAAAGATTATTATAGCAGAGGGGTTGTCTTTACTTTCCATCAAATTAGTCTAAAGCGCACACTGTTAAACTGTGTATATAATATAAAGGGTGCTTTTGATGTACAGGTCTAATTAGACAATATGATCAGTAGTAATTGGGGGAATTTGGAGTGATCCTGTTGGTAGTGTAGTGTTTGCATCAATTGTTGATAGTTGATTCGGTACTAGTTATTTCTCAACATTAGTAAAGTTGCGAGGACTTCTCCAAGATGTGTGCGACCTTGGAAAAAGTGCCGGATAAGCGGAAAAAGTTGCGAGGACTTTTCCAGGTCAATTTTATAGGTTGGAAAAAAGAGACATCGTTTTTTTGTGTAGAATATATTTGCACAAACTGGTTGCTGTCATTTATTCTGAACCACACATGAGCTATGTATAAATGATTTCTATGTTGACTCGTCTACAGACCATTATCGCTGGTAGGTGTGATATTTCATATTTCTCGGCCGAGAGATAAACAACAGCAGTCAGCAGAACAAGAAAAAAGACACAAACTCCAAATGTTCTCCATGGCTGCACCTGCATTCTTTGGCCTCTCACTCATCCTATCTATCACCACCGCCATTGTCAGTTGCTCTTCCTATGCCTACGCACAGAAACAATCCGACAGTGGGTGCATCGCAGCCGAGAGGGCTGCGCTGCTCTCCTTCAGAGCAGGTATCACTAGGGACCCAGTGAATCGCCTTGGTTCATGGGAGGGACAAGACTGCTGCATGTGGAATGGTGTCAAGTGCAGCAACAACACAGGTCATGTCATCATGTTTGATCTCAGCAACACCACCGTCCGAGGTGATGGACTTACCGGTTGGTGCACGATTTTGGTTGGTGGAAATCCTTATAGTCTGCAGGGGAAAATAGGTTCTTCTTTGACTGCTTTACAGCACCTGACGCATCTGGACCTCAGCGGAAACCATCTTGGGGGAGCAGGCGTGCCCATACCAAGATTCATCGGCTCACTGAAGAGTTTGACACATCTCAATCTCGCCTGCATGAATTTCGATGGTAGAGTGCCTCCTCAAATTGGTAATCTCTCTGGATTGATATATCTTAACCTCGAATCATCGCTTTCCCATTCCTACGAGAATGCAGTGCACTCTGATGATATATCATGGATAGCAGATCTCCGTTTACTAAGATTTCTAGACATGAGGGGAGTGAACCTCAGTACAACCGGTAACTGGGTCAGTGTGATGATCCCCCTTCCAAATCTCAAGGTCCTTAGACTCAGCTATTGTGGGCTTAGTTTACCACGTGAACCCAAGGTTACTTCAAATCAAAGTTCACTTGAAACACTTGATCTAACGCTCAACAGTATTGAGACATTGAATCCAGCATACTGGTTTTGGGATACTCGCACAATTAAGGAACTTGACCTTGCATTCACTGAAATTACTGGCCCATTCCCAGTTGCAATTGGGAACATGACCTCTATTGAGGTGCTTTCTCTAGGAGGAAATCACCTCTCAGGCGGTATAAACTCTGAACTGTTTGATGGCTTATGCAACCTGAGATTTCTAGACCTATATTCAAATGAGATCAACCAGGATATGGCAGAATTTATGAACCGACTACCTGCATGTACAAAGAGTACGTTACAATCCTTAGATCTGTCTGCTACCAACCTCAGTGGGCGGATTCCAAACTGGATCGATGAGTGGAGAAATTTGAGTGATCTTTTACTCTCTGATAATAGGCTTCTCGGATCAATACCTCTGGAAACTGGTATGCTGGCTAATCTGAAAAGATTGTATCTAGACAACAACCACTTAAATGGTTCTATATCAAGAGACCACCTTGCAAATTTGGAAAACCTGGAGTATCTGGACTTATCTTACAACCCAGTACACATCACTTCAAATTGGTCCCCAACATTTAGCCTGCAGTATGCATCTTTTGCCCGTAGCAAGATAGGACCTCAATTTCCCAGGTGGCTCAAAGGGCAAAGCAGTGTCACCTATCTCGATATTTCGGATGCAGGCATAGATGATCATCTCCCTAATTGGTTTTGCAGAGTATTTGCACACACTAAATATTTGAACATCTCCAGTAATCAAATAAAAGGCAGTCTGCCAATGACATTGGAGCTTCTGTCTTCATTGCAAATGCTTGACCTCAGCTCAAATAACTTAACAGGTCGGCTGCCAAAGTTACCACAAAGTTTGCGGTTCTTTAAAATCTCCAAGAACTCTTTGTCAGGACCTTTTCCAAGAAAATTTGGGGCTCCAATGCTTACAGAAATGGTACTGTCTGCAAATCGTATGAACGGAACCATTCCAACATACTTTTGTCAACTACAATATCTTCAAGTGTTGGATCTTTCAGAAAACCTTCTGGTGGGACAACTTCCCCTGTGTTCGAAAAGAGAAGATGTTAAGCGAAATTTGAAACCCATTACCGAGTCCGCACTCACTCAACTGTCAGTTGTGATATTGTACAGAAACAACCTGTCTGGCAATTTTCCTGAACTCTTGCAACACAGCCCACAGTTGACTGTTCTTGATCTTGCCCACAACACCTTTGCTGGAGAGTTGCCAGCATGGATTTCAGACAAGCTGCAAGATTTGTCATATCTCTTGTTGCGGTATAATATGTTCTCTGGTTCTATTCCAGTTCAGCTCACAGAACTTGGGAATCTCCAATTCTTGGACCTTGCAAATAACAGAATATCAGGAACTATACCTCATGGTTTGGCCAACTTAAAAGCAATGGCTCAGAATAGCAGAAAATTTATAACCCTTTGTTGAGGTTCCACGTAAGGCCTATCACAGCGTTATTTGATCTTAAATCTTCAGTCAGTTATTATTTCAGTTATGATGATAGCCTACCAATAGTAATGAAAGGACAAGAACTTGGTTACACCAGTACGGTGAGATATATGGTTGGTCTTGATTTATCCTGCAACAATTTAGTTGGAGATATTCCAGTTGAATTAACACTTCTAATTGGACTGATAAATTTGAATATATCCCATAATCAGTTAACTGGAGAGATTCCAGAGAAGATTGGTCTGCTACGTGAATTGGAATCTCTTGATCTGTCATTCAATGAGCTTTCTCGTGAAATTCCTTGGAGCATATCAGAGATAACAGCATTGATCCACTTAAACCTGTCCTAACAGCATTGATCCACTTAAACCTGTCCTATAACAATCTTTCTGGAAGAATACCCTTGGGAAATCAGCTTCAAACACTTGATGATCCAGCATCCATGTATATCGGAAACAATTATCTCTGTGGACCCCCTCTTTCTACAATCTGTTCCGGACCAGATGCAACTGAAGATTACCCCATTGAAAACATGCCAAAGAAGAGAGACTTCTATCTTGGGTTGGCTGTAGGGTATGCCATGGGGCTGTGGATGGTGTTTGTTATTTTCTTGTTTATGAAGACCTGGAGGAGTGCATACTTCCGAATGTTCGACAAGCTACAGGACGGTGTATACATACAATATGTGAAAATTATATCTGCAAAGTGACTCAGAAAAAATGAATATAAACAATGACAATAAGGAGATAGCTATGAGTTTGTGTTTCCATTTGAAATTTGAACTTTGATTGTACTTTACAAATTCTACATATTTACATGTTTGTTGTGAGGATCAATACTTTTGGTGTTATTATCTTTTCTAAGTGAACACTTATATAGCTTGTACTTTTACTTGTTTTGTTCCTTGAAGGCAATAATCTGTGGCTACGAGGACGCGGGGCGGCCCGCCGTGTGTGTGTATATATATTTACGGCCGGTTGATGAATCACGAGTTGGTGGCGGTGCCGTGTGCCCGGGTAAAGTTGGCGGTGGGGGCGGGGGGGTTGGAGATCGTCTACAGGTGGTGCCAAATACGACTGCTCTCTGCGGTTCTCATCCAAGCCGTTGAGATGAACTCCAGAAAACTAAACTAATAGGCTTCAAACCGGCCCATGTGAGCCCATCCCGCACCATTCTTATCCCCTCGCGACTCCAACCTCTGCCTCCGTCGTCGCTCATACCTCAGGCCGCGCGGCTCCTCCGTCGTCGCCGGGCACCTCACCGAAGCGCCCCGGTGCTCCCGTCCTCTTCTGGCGCCACATCGGATCGGGCGCTGCCGTCCTCGCCAGGCGCGGCGCGCGCGCCGTCGTTCCTGGCCGTCATTCCTTTGACTCCGTTGCAGGCACCAGATCGGCGCATCGGCTCCATCCTCTCCAGGTGCGTCACCGGAGCGGCGCGGTGCCCCCAACCTCTCGTCACCAGATCGGCGCGGCACTGGACCCGTGGTGCCGCCCTCGCCAGGGCGGAGCGCGCGCCGTTGGTGTCGGCGCTCGTCTCCCCACCACCACGCACGAGCCTCATCGCCGACGAAGCTGTTGCGCGCCGACGAAGCTTGTGTTCCAAAAACAGATGAGCCACTTTAAAATTTCCTTTTTTCTTATCTGTTATAAGTCGTATGCGAACTTGACAGTTGGTTCTAGTTTCAGCTCTTGGACACTTTGTTAGATGATCTCTTTTATCTGGCTTTCTATGACCCTCATTTGCACAAACATATCTATAGGAACTAACCTTTCCATCTAACTTCCTTTTGTTTGTATACATTTTCCTCGTCTCAAAGCCTTTCTGACCCCCATAGGCCATAGCTAATCCAAAACATCCAAGCATCATCTATAGTGCTGAACTCTATTCCAACTTGAGGTAAAAGACTAGGAAACAAACCCTCCCTACAAGAAAATAGATAAAGATGACATGATATTATGCGACGAACTGAACAACTACAATATATTCCCAAATTAGTTGGACCATAAAAAACAATCGTGGCATTACACACCTATTTTCTTCCATCTTAAATATGCAAAATTTATTTTCATTCAAGCAAGTTGATGTTCCCTTCAAGCTTCCGTATCAGATCTCCTTCAAACGATCAATTTCAGAAAAATCCAGTGATGGAGGACGAAAAAATCAAATTAGAACAACAGTTTAAGTACAGAGCAAGAAGAACAAGAGATGACGTGAGCACCATAGCAGCAGAACTCCGATCCCGGCGCCCGCCCTTTCCACTCGCGCCAAAAACGTAGTCCCGGCGCCAAAGCGTCGAGTAGTCGCGCCAGAACCAAATAGCGCTGCTCTGTCGTACGTGAAGGACTGTGCTGGTATTGGGCCGAAGCCCAGCGAGGTGAGGGGCAGCGCATATTCTCCTGATCATAGAGAGAGTTACGTGAAGGACTGTGCTGGTATTGGGCCGAAGCCCAGCGAGGTGAGCGGTCAGATGTTCAGCAACCGTAGAGAGAAGTTATGTGGGCCAACTGCAGACGAGGCGCGGCGCCTCTGCCGTGCTGCCTTCTTCTCCCCTCTGCTCTGCTTCGGCTCCCCGCTCCCCACGCCTCACGCCGCCTCGCCGAGACCCGCAGGTACACCTTCCCAGTTCCCATTGGGACTCCTCCGTCTCCCCGGGGATCACGGGTCCGCGCCGCCTCAGATCCGGGCACGGCTTCCCCGTTGCGCCACCGCCTTGGTGCGGCGGTGCGGCCAATGGAGAAAGATTGAACTCTTGGTACTTCCATGGAAGCTGTATGCACGCACACTCGCACGCAAACGTTCATTTGGGTTGCCTCTGTAGTCCCGGGCCTTCCCCACTCCGGAGAAAGCTTGGCTGCTCGGCCCTGTGATCCTGGATCCTCCTCTTTCGGGCATCCAGGTTCCATCTAATTCCGATTTGGTAGTTAAGTTTTCCAGCTAATGGTTGTTAGCTCTTCTTGCATTTGTGGTGTCCGAGATTGATAGGTGACCTCATGCCACGTGCGACCTTTTTTCCCACTGTTTTAATTTCTCCCTTCGCATGCGCCTGTGCCCTTAGGATTCTGTTGCGTTGATTAGCTGAAGTATTATGGGGAAAAAGGTCGAGGCTTGAATTTCAATACGTACTACGCGCTGTCATTTCTATTTCTATATTCCTGATGCTCCGCTGCTGATCACACGCTCAACTGCCTTTACCTCTGGACCGCTCAATCTGCTCTGGGGAATATTTCATCGATGTGTAAAGTTGGTGCGCAGCGTCGTCCCATTTGCCAGATCAAATTAGGTTCAAAAATTTGAAATTACTACTTTTCGGGTTTCCAGACACATACAGTGCTCTCCCCCTTTTCTTCGATCCACTGTGCTCTGGTCTCCTTGGTTCGTTTATCTTATCTTCGCCTGCCTGTGCCCTGTGGTGGCACTGATTCGTGCTATCCTACCGCAGACTTTGTCACGCCTCCGCTGGGCATATTTTTCAAACTCACGGCACTAAAAGCTAGCGTCATTAGGAAGAGTACCTATAAATAACCCCCCCTTGCTGCCTTGTGCTTGCAGAACAGCTGGGTTCAGACTTCTTGGGCGAGAGCGATATGAGTGGCCCAAGTCAATCCCAGCCACAATTTATGACCAGCGTTGGGAGGAGTAACCGCTCGAATGGCCCCGGCACTCCTCTTATCGAAAGCATAGATGTTGATCAAATTGTTATTCCAGAGGTATGCTACACTTTTGATAGTCCTTGCTTGATTTTGGAAAAGAACAAGATATCACCATCACAGCTAACATTTAAGCTTAATTGTTAATCACACTCTTCCTTTCTCGAGATAATCCTCCTATCCTATCTGAATAAGTTGCCGTGATTTGTGCCATCTGAAGTTTCAAACCTGATGTACCACAGCTCAGAAAGGACGAAGAACTGAACATTAGTTTTTTTGTTGAGAAATAGAGGAAATAGTCAACAAGTGAATAGGAAACAATGATATACTTAGATTTCTTACTAACTTTCGTATCTCTGGATCTGATGGCTTCAGAATGACGAGAAACTAACTATCTAAGTTGCACGGATACGGATACGCGTATCGGTATCGGAAGGATACGGATACGCGGATACGGCAATTTCCTAAGAAACCCGATACGCGGATACGTTTTACTGTTTTTTTAATAAATATAGATAATAACGCATATTAAAATTGTGAAAGAGTGAAAGTAGTAAATTAACTTGCAATAGCAAATTAGCAAGTACCAGCCAAAGCAAAGAGCGGAACTCCGGAAGCATCTCCATTCTTCAAATCTTCAATTGTCCATTCTCGAGTTCTCCAAGACTGTCCAGAATTTGCACAGAAAAAACAACCAACTATCAATCAATTTATTACTAAAACTAGACTACTCAGTAGTAGTTCAGTACATCACCTTGCCAATTGCAGTCTTGCAGATATCCAAGTCCAGAATTTGAACGCTGAAGTAGACAGGAGATGAGGAGAGGAGAGGACAAAGGAGTACTGTAACAGCAGATATCTGAAGGCCGCGGCGGCTATCCGGCACGGGGAGTCGAGGCGCGGCAGCCCCGCGGGCAGGGATTCGGCGGAGGCGGGGAGGCGGAACGGCAGGCGAGCGACGCCGGCGACGTGGTCCCAGATGAGGGGCGTGGCAGCCCCCGCCGTAGAGGCGTAGACGGAGTCGGCCGCGTCGGCGCCCGCGGCGTCCTCGTCCAACACGTGGAGCTCATCGATGCGGTCGTCGTCGGGGTTGGCGAGAGAATCGCCCTCGGTGGCGGAGGCCGTGGTGGTGGCGACGGTGAGCAGCGGGTCGAGCGCGGCGGCCACGTCCTCGTCCTCCTCGTCGGCGAGGAGAGCGGAGGAGTTGTTGGAGTCGGCGGCGGGCGTGGAGGAGCGGGAGCGGGAGGCGGATGTCGGGAAGTGGGAGGAGGACGAGGAGGAGCGGAGGAGTTGCAGCGTCGCGCCCCATAGGGCTTCCGTTTCGTGCTCCGCCGGCGGCGGCAAGGCGTCGCCGCGGGGGAAGGACAACGTCTGGCTAGGGCGTCGGTGTTGCATCGCTGTTTGTATGTGACTCTGTTATTGGGCCGGGCCGTATCCCATAAGGCCGATACGTATCAGCCCACGTATCCAATATTCACGAAAATTATTAAAATTCGGATACTCCGACGATACGTATCCTTGGCGTATCGGACACGTATCCGTATCCGATACGTATCGGATACGCGATACGCGCCTTCCTGGACGTATCCGTGTAACATAGCTAACTATTGCCTGATTTGCGACTTCGACAGAAAAACAGTTGGAAGAACCTGTTCTCATACATAGGGCCTGGATTTCTCGTCTCAATCGCATATATTGATCCTGGAAACTGTAAGATTAAACGGATTTGCTTTTCTTCAATTTTCATTGAGTATTTCCTTTCCATCTCTTATATACTCTTGACAAATTTTTTTGGCGTGTCTTTGCAGTTGAGACGGATCTACAGGCTGGAGCACAGTACAAATATGAGGTGCCTGCTGCTTCTATCTCTTGTTTCCACTTGTGTGTGTGCGTTTTTTTTTTCTTTTTTGGTTCCGTATGCCTATCCTAACTCTCCTTTAGGTCGAGTTTCTTCCATTCAGTTATGTTTATATCATGCTTATGTCTAACTAAGAATTATGATTGCATTCTTCAATTGCAGCTTCTTTGGATCATACTTGTTGCATCCTGCGCCGCTCTTATTATTCAATCACTTGCAGCCAGGCTAGGGGTTGTGACAGGTTGGTATTTTTACCCTTGTGGTACCTATCTTTGTTAATTTGTTGCTTCCTTCAATCCTTCCTTGTGAGCATTGCTGATAGTTTGTGAAATTCCTCTGTATGACAGGGAAACATCTTGCGGAGCACTGCAGGGCTGAATATCCCAAGGTCACAAATTTCGTCTTATGGATTCTTGCAGAACTTGCTGTTGTTGCATGTGACATTCCTGAAGGTATCGAAAATACATTTCAGTTGCTTTGGCGTGTTTTTTATTGTTCATTTAAGCACAGAGCTACGTGGATTTTACAATTCAGTCATTTAGTAATACTGCAGATGTCATGATACTAATTCTTTACTAGATATAAATTGGAAAATTGTCTGTCAAACTGGCAGATCACACAACTGATTCTTTTAGCTTTATGTTGAATTCTCTTGTAATTTCTTATCAGCTAAGGCGGTGTTTTACTCTTTGTAGTAATTGGAACTGCTTTTGCTCTGAACATGCTGTTCAGAATCCCAGTTTGGTGTGGTGTTCTAATAACTGGACTCAGCACTCTAATGCTCTTATTACTACAGCAATATGGGGTAAGACAATTTCATATTACATTTCTAAATATTTCCGATTAGTTACTCTTTGCTAAGAGTTTCAATACCATAAAAAACATCAAACCAAAATTCTATTTAAAGCAGCTTTAATAACATATAAAGTATAGATAACAAGATCATCAATACAATGACTTTAGTTAACAGATAGCATTCATATCTGTCTTGTTTGAGTGGCTCATATTGCATACTGTGATTTTTTGGGTGCAGGTCCGTAAGCTAGAATTTCTGATTGCATTTCTGGTGTTCCTAATAGCAACTTGTTTCTTAGTTGAACTCGGGTATTCTAAACCAAATGCTTCTGAAGTTGTGAGGGGCCTTTTTGTTCCAGAACTTAAAGGAAATGGAGCTACTGGTCTTGCTATCTCGTTACTTGGTGCTATGGTGATGCCGTAAGCTTCTTGTCTATCTGTCTGTTCCCAAGCATTCAATTTTTTAACACAAGGCCTTTTTTCATTTATCTGTTACATAAATTGCAGGCATAATCTTTTTCTGCACTCGGCATTAGTATTATCAAGAAAAGTGCCACGGTCGGTTCATGGGATCAAGGTAACCTCTAATTCTCCTTATACTGACCTAATGTGTTATTCCTATTTTCAGATGATTAAACATCTATTTACTTCCAACAATTCACTCTCTTGCAGGAGGCATGCAGATTCTATACGATTGAAAGTGCATTCGCCCTTACAGTAGCTTTTCTCATCAACATATCCATCATATCTGTCAGTGGTGTTGTCTGTGGTTCAGGTCATTTGAACCCAGAAGATCAGGCGAACTGCAGTGATCTGGACCTAAACAAGGCTTCATTTTTGTTAAAGGTTGGTCAAGAAGTTTCAGTCTTCATATAATTGTCAAATTCATAAATAGATTGTTTTTGTGCTAGAACTTCTATATTTTTCACTCAGTTAGGGTTATTTCTCTTTTCTGGACCTGTACAGGAGAGTATTAAGGAAGAAAGACAAACTATAAAAACAACCCATAGGCAAATAGCAATTCTGACACCAACTAGGCAGATAGCTTTACATAGAGTTTATGCTTCAGTTTTGAAATGTTCTTTATGAAGTCTATATATACTTTTTTGTAAATATTCTGATTTGGCATTGCATTTTCTTTACTATTCTTTTAGAATGTCCTTGGAAACTGGAGCTCAAAGTTGTTTGCAGTTGCCTTGTTGGCCTCTGGTCAGAGTTCTACAATTACAGGGACGTATGCTGGACAATATGTCATGCAGGTTTGTGGAACTTATACCTTATTTCAGTCCTAGCTTGCAAGTTGAATGGCAAGCTATTTCATGATGCATAATACTTGAGAGGCCTTTGATGTTGATCAGAGGTAACCAAGCATTTGCTTGCTTGCAACATTAGTTTGTCTAGCTGTTAGATATGAGAAGTACAGAAAACAAATTAGTGCATAATTCTTAGATTTGCATCATGAAGAAGCTTGGGCTTCTGAGCTTCAGTCCAACCTCCAAGGTTCTCTTGGTCAGTTTGATTGCAGAGAAAAATGGGCAGTTCTGGGGTAAGCATAGGTCACCACCATTATTTAACACAATACGCTGCTCATTGTCTTCCCTTGTCTCAAAAAATGCCTTGAATCATCTTAATTATTTTATTTTTTGCCTAAACCTAAAGGAAAACTAAGTAAATAACCAAGCATTTCAGACTTATGAAACTTCATTTGCTAGACTAACATTTACTCACCTAATCTAGGGGTTTTTAGATCTTCGGATGAAACCATGGATACGTAATTTTGTCACGAGGTCCTTGGCTATTCTGCCAAGTTTGATCGTGTCGATTATTGGTGGTTCTTCAGCAGCTGGCCAGTTGATTATCATTGCATCGGTAATCAGTGAACTTTACTGTTATATACTCTATTATACCTCAAAAACTTAACAGTTCTATTATGTTTAACCTCATTACTCATGTCAATGAAGTTTTTCAGTTTCATATGTGTTTACTAATGCCTTGCCCGGTTACGTGCAGATGATACTGTCATTTGAACTCCCTTTTGCTTTGGTTCCACTCCTTAAATTCACCAGTAGCAAAACAAAGATGGGGCAGCATACAAATTCAATATTCGTAAGTCGATTTGTCACAGAATTGGCAATAGTAACCTTGAATTTGCATACTAATTCGTCTAACTTGACTGTCAAATGCAGACTTCTGTTCTGACATGGGTGATTGGCTCGTTTATCGTTGTCATCAACACCTACTTCCTGATAACAAGCTTTGTGAAACTGCTCCTCCACAGCGGGCTGTCCACTGTATCCCAAGTATTTTCTGGGATTTTTGGGTTCCTGGGCATGCTGATCTACATAGTCGCGATCCTATACCTCGTCTTCCGGAGGAACAGGAAGTCCACCCAGCCATTGCTGGAGAGCGATGCTGAGCTTGCAGTGTCCGGTAGCAGTGCAGGTGCTGGAGCAGAATGCTCTCTGGGCCATTTGCCCCGAGAGGACATCTCCAGCATGCAACTTCCGCAGCAGCGATCAGCTTCTGATCTAGATTAGATAATAGCTGTCAGGAAAATAAATATGTTTTTTTTTTGTTTTTTATATACTAGTATAGTAATTACACAATAGGGTACATCAGGTTTTGACTTTGATCATCCTACTGATGATGTTGTGGGCAGTAAGCTAGGGAATGTATACAAGAGGATGGATATCTATGCCGCCGAACAAACAAAAAGGGGCAAAAAGAACCATTTAGTACTTGTTTGGAAAGTGGTGAAACTGAACTGTGGAAGGGGCACAAAAAAACCCATGTTGGAATCGAATCAAATGTGAGAAGTTCTTCATTCTAAACATAGCGGCATTGGTAATAATATGTCTAGATGATGTAAGATACTGAGTTTTTATTATTCCAATAGTTTATACTGGACATAATGTTTTATGTGCTGTGCATCCCAGTGGATGCAGGCCCTGCTTATGGTACCGCCTTCAGCTCGATATTTTCTGAATAAAACCAGGTGAATCCACCCTTGGTTCTGCTGCTGACAAGCCGGTGTCCCCGACCTGTGAATGGGAGCTAGGCTTGTTTGGACGACGCCTAGGGACGCCGCGCCGAGGCTGCGACCGGCCGAAAGTTTGGTGCTCAAATTGTCCGCCGGAGATTTGGCGAGTTCTGGTGTTGGCAAACTGCGGCGGCGCTGTAACTCTAGAAACCAATCAAACACTGACCGAAAGTGCGGCGTCGGAGATGTGGCAGGCTTTGGCACTGTTGGGTAACCAACCAAACACGCTCTAATGCCAAAACAAAACTGCCAAATGCGCTTGCGTTTCCCAAAGTAGCAGCTGAGAAAGAGAAACCGTCATCGGTGACAGTCTAAGGGCGTCATCAACGGCAACAAGGAAATCGCGCAACGTGGAGGTGCAAGGGAGTATAAAAAGAAAAAAACGTACCAGCTGTACACATTATATGCCCTGTTCGTTTGGCTGATAATCATGGCTGAAAGTACACTGTTGGCTGATTTGTTGTGAAAGAAAAATATTGTTTGTTAGCTGAAAAAGTATAACTTATAAGCCAAGCGAACAGGGAAGAGTGTAAAGTTCTTTAGAGTTTGTGCGAGCCCTACTGCTTTAACGGTCGCTAGTGAATTTAAGATATTACAGAGATGCTCTGCCCACCCGCAAAAGGATTGGAACCAAGTCCTAACCTGGGAGCTCTTTGACACGCATATGATGCAGTCTGACCAAGACCCGATCCACTTGAGTGCTTGGTGGGAGAAGACTGTGTCCAAGGTCGCAAAAGAAGAAAGGAGGCATTTCAATGGCTTGGTGATCTACATGTGATGGAATATGGAAGGAAAGAAACCGAAGAATCTTCAATAATGTCTAGGAATCGGCTTCACATGTCGCTGCAAGAATTAAGGAGGACATTGAGCAAAGAAAATGGGCTTTAGAGGGGGGGGCTAGCAAGCCGGTGCTGGAGCTGCACCTGGGCTGTGGTTCTGTGTGTTTGCCACTTCTTTTTTCCTTTGCTTTCGCTTTCGATCGGACTAAAATATGTACATAAACTCCCTTTTATTCTACCTTAATACTCGCTAATCAGACAACCTAGACTACATTGGGGGCTCACGCGCGTCTGCTCGCACGGCACCTCGCTCGATCAGCCTTAGCCGGGTCCAGGAATAGCTGTTGCATGGCCTCTGCGTGGGAGGGGTTGAGTTGGTCGACGAAAATGCTGTTGTATGCCTGCGTTGCTGTTATATTACTCTATTTCTCATCTTAATACAAAGATACGCAAACTTTTTGCGTATTCGAGAAAAAAAAAACGGTCGCTAGTGAGTTCATATTCTGTCTTCTCTCATCCATTGTGGATACCTTTATCATGGGTCCTCATACTCTTGCCATGGGTCAATATTTGCCACCATGAAAGAAAGCGAGAAGTAAAGGTTTTGTAGCTCTAAACTGTCATCAACTCATGTTGGAGAAGGAAAAAAAATTGTGGAGCCTCAATACTCTTGCCATGGGTCTACATTTGCTACTCATGAAAGAAAGCGAGAAGTGAAGGTTTTGAGCCCTAAACTGTAACCGACTCGTGTTGGAGGCGGATAAAATATACGGGGCCTCGTACTCTTGCTATGGGTTTACATTTGCCACCCGTGAAAGAAAGCAAGAAGAAGGTGAAAGAAAGCGAGAATAATGCGAATGAGCGAAGGTAGGTGAGGTGTGGGATGCGGAGAAAGGGATATATGGAACTAATAGAGGTAAAAATAAGGACCACGAAAGAAATTTATCACTTTTAGTCCTAAGATCCATAATAAATGTTAGCTATAATAAAGAACTAATCATGTATGGGAAATTGATATAGCTTAGAATATAATTATTGTCTACATGTGTTGTAAGTTTTAAAAGGTGAAGACTAGCCACACGTGTGTGCCAAATTAAAGTCACGACATGTATGGGCTCGGGTTTGGCCGGCCATGCCACCACATGACTAGCATGACTAAGGGGGTGTTTGGGACTGCTACACAAACTCTGCTCCATAAACTCCACCGTAGAGCAGCTCCACAAAAAACTGGAGTTTGTGGAGTACCTCTTTAGGTGCTCTCACAACTCCACCCTTTTTCCTGGAGCAGAGTGCGTGGAGCTGAAACCATTTGGCTAAAAAACGTGGAGCGGAGCTGAAAAACGTGGAGCGGAGCAGTCCCAAACACGCCCTAAATGTTTTGTGACTTCAAACTAACTGAGCGATGACGAGCCAAAAGATGGAAGGAGAGGGGTGGGAGTGAGTGATGGACCACAAAAGTGAGAAGGGTTAAAGTTAGTGACAGAAGAAGGGGTAGAAGTAAGGAATGATAGACTGAAGGATAGAGGAAGAAGTTTTCTTTCAAAGTCGAAGTGAGTAATGGAAGAAGAAAAATAGAAGTGAGGAATATGATAGACCAAGAGTCCGGAGGAAGAGATTTCCTAATACATATGCATGTATACTCTATAGGTATAATTTTTTGATAAAAACAATGGATATTCAGTTGAATTCATTTAATAAAGCTAGGCCCTGCTAGCTTGGGCGCCTGTTGAGAAGCACCATGTTCGTTTGTTGGTTTCAGCCAGCCCAAACCAGCCAGTCAACAGTGTTTTCTCTCACAACAAATCAGCACCAGTCAGCCCAAATCAGCTCAGAAACCAACCAGCGAATATGTCGAAGGACGGCAAAAAGCTCATCATCTCTGCAGAAGCAAGAGTGCTATCAGAAAATTCATAGTCCAATGTACTAGTAGTGGGAACAAAAAGTTTGACACGACTACACGAGTAACGAGTTGAAGTCCTGATGTGGTAGTGTGGTAGGAATGTGCAAATAAAAAAGCTTCATTGAAGTCACTGAAACAGTATTAAATGGCAAGGAATGTGCAAATAAAAAAGCTTCATTGAAGTCACTGAAACAGTATTCAAATGGCAGTAATAAAAATTCAAAAAAAAACGGCAAGGAATGTGCAAATAAAAAGCTTCATTGAAGTCACTGAAACAGTATTAAAATGGCAGTAATAAAATTAAAAAAAGCATAAAAATTTCAAAATAAAAAACGGGAAAAAAACGGCAAGGAATGTGCAAATAAAAAGCTTCATTGAAGTCACTGCAACAGTATTAAAATGGCAGTAATAAAATTTAAAAAAATATAAAAAATTCAAAATAAAAACGCGCCAGGTAGGGGTCGAACCTACGGCCTTCTGCTTAGGAAACAGACGCTCTATCCACTGAGCTACAGGCGCTTTGTGTAAATTGATAACGAACATTTCTATACCTTAGATTCAAAGACAAGTGCCAAAGCTGAAGCACTCCAAACTACTAATAGTTTTTCTAAAAAAATATAAAGAAAGGAAGGGCGAGAATAAATAGTTCCAATTAGTAAGGTGTGATGTTCTCTTATGAGGAGCATCGGTTATTGTTGTGAATCCATAGAATGATAAGTTTAACTTTACATCCATTGACCATATTGGATAATTGTGACCATGAAAAGCGAGAGATCAAACTCTTTACTCACTATTGTTCCAACTAGCTTCAGGCAGATAAATTAAAATATCTATGGTAGTGTTGTAATAAAATGCAAAATAAATAGAAAATATGATTATTCTTGTATCGCTAGTGGATACCCCGTATTCATGATAACACTTTGGAGATAGCCACCATAGGCATGTTGCCCTCTAATAATTGGGGCATAGTTTGATGGCATTTGTGCTTGCAATTTGTATTAACACATTTTCAAGGTAGTCAACAAAAGCAGTGTAGACCTTTCTTAATTCATATTTGATTTGGATACGCATGTTGAGGATATTATTATGTCATGAATATAATGTAGATCATGTAGTAGTAACTATGTTACTAGCTTGTATATGGCCAATAGGAATATGAATTAAGGTAATCATCTTTGGAAAAAAAAAGATGTAGACCATTTATTCCAAATGTGACGTTGGGTATGCACATTGAGGATATTTCACTATATATTAGACATAGTGTAGATCCTGCAGTAGTAACTATGGGACTACCTTGTGTATGGCCAACATTCAAAATTTGGAACATTTGTGCTATACAAACAATAGGGTAATACATGTAATATATTTTGCATTAAAAATATAAGCACTTAGAGCTTTCATGGAAGCATAAATGAGCTTAACATAAAATGAAAATTACCAATAACAAAGTAATTGCAATGAAAGCACCATATAATTATGATAATATATGTTTGTTGGGTTTGCTTTAGACAAACCACTTTGAACAATGTAATGCTAATTGTACATGTTATTGGGATTCTATTGGGACAACACTTTGAATAGTAAAAAGTTTTCTAGAAAATATAGGATTTGAAAAACAAATTTACACGAGGTAAATTAAAAACTTTTGCAGTAGCATACACATAATGCAAGTCTAAGGACTAGTGTGTTTAGAATGAATATTTACATAGGTAAATATGATACATTATAGTTTGTTTTTTAGTCTAAGGATGATGATCTGTTAGTCTGTAATATCTTTTGTATTGTCGGCAATGAATTTACAGGATATTTAGGGCTTAA